CTCGTCGTCGGGTCTCCCTTCGTGTGGGCAGTGCACGTTGATGATGCTGTAGTTGAAGAAACGGCCCTTAATCCGCAACTTGCACATCCTCGCGTTGATCGGCTGCCAACCAATCACGCGTTGGCGCATCTTACCCAGCACTACAAAGCCGGTTCCCAGCTCGTTGGTGGTGCCACAGCTCTGGTAGAAAGTAGCCGCTCGATGCCCGCTTTTCCATACCTTTTGTCCCGTCCAACAAAGTTCCTGCAGTGCTACGACTTCGAAGTTGCGTGGTTGAAGTTCGTCATAGATTAACCTATCGCAACCCGGGAAGCCGAGCAATTTGCAGTTCCATGTTCCGAGTTTCCAATCGTAGTCCTTATTTCGTCGCGTAGGTCTGTGCCGATTGTTCAGATCCGTATTTCTTTCTTCAGTATTTGCAACTTTGTTTTTTTTCAGGGCGGCTTGTTGGGCCTGCCCCAACCCTCTGTCTCGCCGGGGGACCATCGTGCACAGCTCTGTTTAGAGTCCCACACTGGCACTAGGACGGTGATCAGCCGCTCCTAACATGGAGAACAGACGCCGTTTTGAGCCACACATCCATGATGAACAGACGCTCAGGTTTGGTGAAGCATTTCCTCTATCACCGTACTATGGTTACCGCGCCAGTGTTCGCGTCGCACCTCTTCATTTTGCTATTGCCGGACTTGCAACATTGCCCAGGCTACGCCACCCGGCTGTGTCCATGTTTCAGCTGGTAGTCTTTTGTTATCATATGACTCGAGGAGGCGTGAAGTAGGAACTTGTGAGGACCAGGGCTAGGTATTCCGGTCCTTTCAGGCAGGGTTGCTTCCACTCACTTGCTATAAAAAAATGTTTTTCGAAATTATAAAGTCGTTAGAGGTTATTATGATAGTTTGTGCTTGTAAGTTAAAAGAAGAGGTTGCAAAGTATGTGTTTGATGCATGAAACCTGTCAATTTCGCTTTCAGATAGTCACAATCAGCCATTTTGCGACTCGCGAGCGCTCACTCTGAGTGAACGCTCACGAATCATAAAATCGCTGATTGTGACACTCTGAAAGCGAAATTGACAGGTTTCATGCGTCAAACACATACTTTGCAACCTCTTCTTTTAACTTACTAGCACAAACTATCATAATAACCTCTAACGACTTTATAATTTCGAAAAACATTTTTTTATAGCAAGTGAGTGGAAGCAAGCCTGCTTTCAGGTTGTCAACTCACCATTTTGTAGTCCTGAAATTCGTGCTAGTTAGCAAATCCGCACACCCCATTAGTCAAATTTGCACCAGTTCGTCACGTTTTCCAAATATGCATGTGAGGGTCTGCTTCCGATGAGGTTGTGGCTATTGGAAGAGATAGTAGCAACAATCAATACGAAACTATCGATTTGAAATTAGCTCACTTCTTGACTAGCCTATTGGTCCCTATAACTTATCCCATTCTAGTGATAATCCTAGTACTACATAATGTTTGTTTTGATTCGCTATGAAAGTTTGACAGATAAAATGAGGGGTTAGTGGATTTTCCTATGTTTCGAGGGGTGAATCGATTAGCTTGGGACCGAAGAGAGTACCAGAGCTGAGCCAAAAAGTTGAGCACGTTTCTTCGGGACTAGTCTTAGAGTTACCTCTATGATAGTAGTGCTCTCTATAAGGACGACAATGATATGATTCTGTGGCATCGAAGAATGCGGCATTTGAATGTGCACAGTCTGAAGGCGCTCCGATCCATGGCCGATGGGATCAACTTCATAGATGCAGAAGTATCATCCTGTGTTGCTTTTCTGTAGGGATGCTTCCGTCACCCCTTCAAGAAGAACTGAACACGTGCAGGAGTGGTGCTCGAGTTAATCCATTGTGTGCGGCCCAGACCAGTAAACGGATCAAGCGTATGCGAGTATGTTGGCGCTAAATGGAGAAATTTCTTCGCTTTCGGGAATTTATCATGAACTTACAGTCCCGTACAATCTGGAGCAGGTAAGAACCCCCTTGCAGAATTTTGCCATGGGACAAACATGCGATGAGTGGCAGTTTACTTCTTGAAAATTGTCTCAACTTCTTCAAAGTTACAAACTAATTTTTTTTTTTCAAGTTATTGTGATTTCTATGAATATTTTAGACTTTCTCGACGAAATGTGGAAGCTGCCAAAATCTTCTCTGGCTTTTGAAACTCTTACCATTTCAGCTTTCAGTTCTCCAGCTGGATTTGTTATGTAAACATGACCAGCTGTAAGCAGGAGAACAAATTGTAGTCTGGTGGATAGAATTGCGATCTATCAAAAAGCGGAACCAATTAAATATATTTTAGACCAACAATTGTAAAGGTACTATCAACTTTAATAAACAAAACGTTGATGGTTCTTTCCTCGCCAATCGAACGCAAATTACCAGCATCATCGGATAGGGGAAACTTTCCCCAACCCAAAGATGGTGTTAGTTTGCGTAGGCGAGCCGCTTGAGTCACGAGAAAAGGGTTTCTGAAGTTTTGATCGCAATAGCTGATGTGCTCTTTTCTGTTGTTGGTTGTGATTTTTCGATTGGTTCCGCTATTTGACAGCTCAATTGGTTCCCGAGATTCTATCCGCCAGACTATGAATATAGCGATTATAGGCTATTGGCGTTGGCGGCGACTCTGTAGCTCTTTTTTTTCTGTTTGGGGCCTAACACTACTGCTTGATTTACGGTTTAGCGACTTTGCAGTCAATTTAATTGTTTATAGGAAAGTTTGAACATACTGAGAGGTAAGCACATATCATCGGTAAGAGACGAGTGTGTGAGAAAATTTGCGAAAAAAATCTAAGGGCACCGGTGGGATTCGAACCCACAATTCCCATTCAGTACACGGGTGCATTGCCAATTATACAACGGTGGACCTATGACTGCAAAGTCGCTAAACCGTAAATCAAAAAGTAAAAGTAATTGATATTCATCAACTACGGCCCGGTGGTCGGAGGTGAGGCCGGCAGCTCAAAATGTTAGAGTCATACTGTACTGGACATATTTCAGCATGTAAGATGAACAACAAAAATGAGCTGTGTTTGTTCACATCGACTGATACTGAGTGGTTGCGGTACAAGCACATATCGTCGATAATAGACGATTGTTGTGTATCAGAGAACGCTTGCGCAAAAAGACTAGGGTGGGGAACGGATTCGAAACTCAAATGTCATTAGCCAAATACATCCGTAGATCATAGGTCCACCGTTGTATAATTGGCAATGCACCCGTGTACTGAATGGGAATTGTGGGTTCGAATCCCACCGGTGCCCTTAGATTTTTTCGCAAATTTTCTCACACACCCGTCTCTTACCGATGATATGTGCTTACCTCTCAGTATGTTCAAACTTTCCTATAAATAACACTACTGCGACCAGTAAATTGATCTATTGTAGTATATCCCGTGTCCTTAGTTTAGTGCATGTCGTATTACTCCATCAATATTGAGAAATGATGAAGTATTATTCGATTTTTTTACAGTTGCCACTCTTGCATCTATCGCAAGGATCCGACTTTAATTGAAAGACCCTTCGGAGTGTTGAAACACCCTCCAAAGGCGCGCTCCTTTGTCAGTCAAAATTGGATTCCTTAGCAAAAAAATTATGGTATGACACCGATAATGACCATGCATCAGAACCCTAGTCTTAACCACTTCAAACTAGGGAACAACGAATAGAAGATTAGGAATCACATAGATGAAGACAACTAACTCATTTTTTTCCTTGTTTCAAGATCATCCTCGGTAGACAAAGCCGAGTCTTGTCACTATCAACAAGGCATAAAAAGTAACAAGGACTAAGATGTGTTCCTTGGATTACTGAAAAATCCTGTTCCCCTAGTTTGAAGTAGCAAGGACTAGGAATCGGTGGTAGATCTTACATCCCGTAACGTACCACGAAAAGATGATCTACCCACGTTACGGGGCCTATAGCTCTTTACTGGTTTGAGAAAATCCATAAGCAAACGTCAGGCTGTGCTGGAAACTATCCTTTCACTCCACCGAAAATTCCCATAAGAAACTGTCTATGGAAGAGAAGATTTTTAGACGGTTTTACATAAAAACCGTAATTTTGCGTTACGCAATATTTGAACGGGTTCTAAGAGGTCCTAAGCAGGCATAGAAAATCATTTACATTCATTTCATGCGTACATTTACTTACATTCATTTGCCTCTAACTTTTTTCATCAATAGCATTCCGCAAAATGATGTACAGAGCTTTAGTAGGTTTTGTAATTAGCTTCAACTTTTGTTCATAACTCAAATCTGTATCTCTTATGCATCACGATTTAGAGCGGGCAGAACTTGTTACTGTTTTTCAGTGAATGTAAAATACATTCACTGAAAAACAGTAGTGGCTTCTGTTTGCTCTGGTTCGTCATGCATAAGAGATACGGATTTGAAATGTTGACAAAATTTGTAGCTAATAACAAAACCTACAAAAGCTCAATGCATCATTTTGCCGAATTCTGTTGATGAAAAAAGTTAGGGGCAAATGAATGTAAATGAATGCAAATGATTTTCCATGCCTTGTCCTAAGTATAAAACAAATATGAAGTGTCTGTCATTAGTATAAAAACATACAAAACAAATAGTACATATGAGTTCACATAAAACAATTATTTATGTATGCAATAAGTATGAAAAAAGAGGAAAAAATTATTCCATCAACCGAGTCCTAAAATTGATCCGAATTGTCGCAATGCGCTCATAGTGCATATCTTAACAAACTTTGTTCTGAAAAATCACTCAACGATGACTTTGGCAATAGATCAGTGCACGGTCCCTAACCTCACTTTTTGCTCCCTATCATTTTGCTTCTGAGTAAAAGAGATAGCAACGAATGGGAGCCAAAACAAACCACCCAAAACTGTCAAAACTTACGGGTGAGAGAAGAGTGCGGCAAATCTTCGTGAACTGATCAATACTTCATTCTGAAAATTGCTTCTGCGGATGAAATTTACTATAGCGTGAATCTGTTCGCGAAGAACCTGTCAAAAAGTAAGTGCCGCAATCAAAACATTCACATGCACGCGCCGTGAAAATTTCCTCACATCAGATCATGGCCTCGCGGATTATCCAATCCTTGTCCGGTGAAAAACTCCTTTCCAAATCCTTGACCCTTCAGTGCTTCGTTCGGCATGGTCATCGGTTACGTGGCCTCCCTCCGGGAGTGGCCCGTACGCTGGAACAACGTCTTGCCGGTAAGTAGCATGCTGCTGCTGCTGTTGTTTACGGTTTCGTAATCACTCTGTTTTGTTAGACGAACGAGCCGTAGATCCAGAATTGACGCAGAAAGTCAATATCGGTTTCCCGCACCTAAAACCGGCTCGGTCCGAGCAGTTGAAGGAACGCTTGTTACACCTGAAGGCGCAACGGGCCAACCTGGAACTGGAGAAGGCATCCCGGGCGAGAACGCGTGAGTTTTACCTACGTTTTTAATAGATCAAATAATAAACGATGGAAAATTTTAGTGACAATCGAACCGGAACTGGTGAAAAGAGACTGGCTCAAAACGAGCGGTCCATTCCACATTAAACGATTGGCCGAGCACTACGGAGTGTTCGAGCATCTGTTCGGATCGGCTTACTTTGTACCGCGGGTTGACTTGCGAATCACATTCAGCAACGGCAGCGGGGAAGTGGCCAGTCCAGTATACTACGGAAACGTGCTAAAGCCGAGTGAGGCCAGTGCGGAACCGACGGTCCAGTTCGACGCTAGTTTCGATTATAAGGGGACAACTGGGGCGGCAAAGGGTGATAACACCTGGTGGACACTGGTGCTGACCAATCCGGATGGGCATTTCAGCGAGAAGGATAAAGAGTACTGCCATTGGTTTGTGTAAGTTACGGCTACGGTTATTCAGAATGGCGAAGAATGTCCTAACGTTGGAGTTCAATTTCAGAGCCAACATTCCTAATGGAGAGGTGGAGAAGGGCGAAAGGATCGTTCCGTACTTGCAGCCGATTCCTCCCAAGGGAACCGGATTCCATAGGCACATTTTTGTGTTGTACAAGCAGGAGAAGAAGCTGGATTTGAGTGAATACAAAGTCGAACAGGGCAAGAGTGTGGACTTGGCAGCGAGGACATTCAAAACGTTGGATCTGTACCGGAAGTATCAGGATGACATCACACCGGCAGGGCTGGCGTTCTTTCAGTCGGATTGGGACAACAGTTTGATCGACTACTATCACAATGTGCTGAGTAAGTTTTTTTTACTATAGATCAAACACACTTAGATTATTTTACCGAAATCTCAACAGCTGAATGTTCGGTAAACAGTTTGGTGATTTTTCACAGATTTCCTGTAATTTTTCACTTATATTCGGTGAAAAATTACAGAAAATCTGTGAAAAATCACCGAACTGTTTACCGAACGTTCAGCTGTTGAGATTTCGGTAAAATTTCACAGATTTCGGTGAAATAATCTTAGTGTGAAGTAATGGTGGCGGTGGTATTGTCTCCAACACAGGAAAGAAAAGTATTTGGGGGGGGGGGATCGTTTTTCCCAGAGTAATGATGTCTGAAAAATTTCTAAGGAAGCGGACTGAGATGCTCCAAAATTTGATCCATAGTGGAAAAATTTAATTCTGTATCGTTTTTGCAAGAATCCTCCGCTGCCGGTGGACGCATAACTGTCCCATGTTACAAAACACAAAACTGAGAAAACTGCGATTAAAGTTTGAAAACACTTTTTGCCGTTGTCGTGAAATTTCGCTGTAAATTTCTGTTCTATTTCTTAAAACTGTCGAAATTTAACTGTTCCATACACAACTCAACAAAATTTTACCAAAAAAACTATTTTTTTTCGATAAAAAATCTTCTGGGACACTTATGCCGCGAATTTTCCTGATGAGTCGAAAAATGTACGCATATTTGTCCCACTGTGAACAATTTCTCGGTTGCTGTTGTTGTTACGTTTGACACTTCGTGCGAGTCGGGTGTGTTTTCTTTTTTATAGTGCTGATTTTTAGTGTCATCAGAAGCTATCAGAAGAACCGGAACTGGAAATGTCTGGCTTGGAATATTTGAAACAGTACGGTGGTTCCAGTGAGAGTGAAGAAGAATTCCATGGGTTTGACCTGGAAGACCGCACGGGTGAACGATTTCCGCAAGCATCACAGTCGGTAAACACTGAGGTCAATCAATCAGTTTCCAGCCAAACTGGTTGCTGCGATGAAAATTTTGAAGCCGGAACAAGCGCCGAAAAAAGCAGATCCGAAAGAGAAACAACAACAAACTTGGAGCGGCCGGATTGCAACACCGCTAGTCGATCCTGTGATTCGGACAGCTCTTGCAGTTTTTCCGAGCAACAGCCAGAGAGAAGTTACAGGAAAAAAACTAAAAAAGAACGGAAAAAGGAAGATTCGGCTAAAAAACGACGCAAATCGCATGCGATAATTCTGGAAACTTGTGGTTGCCTCAAAAATTGCAACACTAAGTTCACGAGAGATGACAGGCTACAGTTCCATAAGTCTTTTTGGGATCTGGATAACGTCGGCCAAGGAAATCTAATCAGGCAGTATGCTCATCTAACACCTGTCGGACGGCGCCGAAAACGTAATGCGAAGGATTTGGCCAAACAACTTGCGTACAAATACACTGTACCCAGCTCAAGTGGTGACCCCGTAAAAGTGTGTAGGAAGTTTTTCTTGAACACTCTTGGATTTGGCGAACATTGTGGGTATGTATTAGAAAACATTCTTAATGCTGTATGCAGGCTTTATTATATGCAAAAAATAGCAATATAATTTACAGATGCGTTCGAGGAGCTCAAGATGGACCTCGAGAATACCGACGTGGGAAATATAGTAGAAATAAGCATGCACGCGAGGCCATCAAGGAACACGTTTTTGGCTATGGTCCATCAATCTCCCATTATCGGAGAGCGCATACTCCGAACCGCCTGTATTTGCCTTCCGATTTGACTGAGAAGTATCTGCACAAGAACTATGAAGCCACGCAGGATGTCAAAGTAAGTTATTCGCTGTATTGCAAGGTTGTAAGACAATGCAATATATCATTTGTACGGCTTGGGCATGAGCAATGCGAGACGTGTGTTGCTGCAGAACTGCATAAGAAAGTCGCTGAGCATTCGGAAGCAAAGGATTGTACCTGCTGCTCGGAGCACGAACTTCATATCAAGCGTGCTTCCGAATCGCGAATGGCATATCGTGCAGATGGCGACTCAACATCACCAAACGAGGTGGTATTTTCAGTAGATCTACAAAAAGTAAGTGATTGGAAATACATTATGGTATGTGACATTATTTGTAAGATATGCATATGTTTTCTAGGTCATTCAACTTCCTCGACTGGATGGATTCAAGAGTGTTATCTTTTCATCAAGGCTTTTGGTCTTTAACGAGACCTTTGCCCCAGTCGGCGCATATGCACGATCATTTCCGGTGTCTGCGTGTATTTGGCCCGAGTCGATCAGTGGCCGCACAGCCAACGACATGCTCAGTTGCTTTTACAAAGTAATTAAGAAGTACGCACACCTTCAGAAGATTACGTTTTGGTTGGACAATTGTTCATCACAGAACAAGAATTGGAATTTGTTCCAACACATCATCCTCTTGATAAACAGTAATGATATTCAGGTTGACCAAATACTGTTTAAATTTTTCGAATCTGGCCACACCTTTATGGCCGCCGATTCATTTCACGGAGCGGTCGAAAACAAAATGCGTCACGAACGAGTCGTAACCTTTGAACACTTCAAATCTGTGGTTGGTTGTGCCAAGAAAAATGTTGACGTACTTGACATGGAAGTGGCTGACTTCTTCCAAGCTGAGCTAACTGTCTCACAGTACACGTTGAACTTGTGCAAGCCCCGCCCATACGTGGACACCATGCGAAAAGTGGTATTTCAAAAGGGACGTTATGAACTTGGATACGCAAGCAACATCAACAGCGAGGACCTCGTATACTGCAAACTGTTTTCCAAGAAGCAACTCCGGTTGATCGAAAAGGATACGTTCTCTCTTGAAGCTAATGTACGCTGGCAAAAGTCTCCTCGAGGAATTGAAGCGGATAGGAAGGCTTCCCTGTTGGCGGTTGTTGTACCTGTTATTACCGAAGAAGAAAAACCTTTTTTTATTGACCTTCCGACAAAGCAACAAACATCTGAATAGTAATGTAAGATTAACCGTTGTATGAATTTTTTATACTTCAAATAAATCGCATCACTTTGTTCCATCCATAGCTTTTCAATACGAGATTTTATGTCACGAAGATGTACAAATAAGCACTTAGCAGAAAGCGAATTATGTTCGCCATAGAAGAGGAGATGACAATTCTGATTTTATGATCCCTTCAACATCGGGCTAGGGAAAGTTGACTGTAGGATATTTTTACCTTTCAGGTAATCGTTTGGGACTTGTAATGTGCTTACAATATATTATTTGGCTAACAAGCTTTAAATTTGTTAAACATTTTTTTATATTTAGTTGGAATTGGTGTAGTGGGACAAATATGCGTCTATTTTCTCAATGGGACAAATATGCGTCCATTTTCTCAATGGGACAAAATGACTTCACATTTTTTCGAGCTTTTGTAGAATAAACAGTATGTTTTTATGTGATATTCGAAAAATATGCATCAAAATATGACGATTAGCATCAAAATCTCAAAAATGACGAAATGTAACATGGGACAGTTATGCGTCCACCGGCCTGGTGTTATAGAATACTAGGTAGTGTGAAAAGTAACCTCCTTGACCGCCGGAATGCGCTGTTACTGCAAAAAGGTTATGGTGCCTTGTAGCATAGAGGTAACTCTAAGACCAGAAGGTCCCGAAGAAACGTGCTCAACTTTTTGGCTCAGCTCTGGAACTATCATAGAGGTAACTCTAAGACCACTGGGTCCCGAAGAAAATCATTATTATTTTTGGCTCACTCAGTACCAGAACAACGGTCCCAAGCAGTCCCAAGCTATTTCACTCACCCCTGCATGTTCTGCATGAATCCACACACCCCTGATGTTATATGTCAAACTTTCATAGCGAATCAAAACAAACATAGTGTAGTAATAGAATTTCAACTAGAATAGGGCACGTTAATCGTTTGCTTGGGACCAATAGGCTACTAAAGTGGTGAGCCAATTTAAAATCGTTAGTTTCGTATTGATTGTTGATAGAAGTATGATTGGACTTGCCACACAATTATACCAATGCAAAAATGGTACAGGCATCGAAAGATCTCAATTAATAACTGTGGAAGTGCATCTAGAACACTAAGTTGAGAGTACACAATAAGCTAATATGTGATATGCAATAAGCTTGAGATACGAAGAAGAAAAAGAAGAAGGTTATAAACCAACAGCAGCAAGCGTTCATGAAGCAGCAAGAGCAGTTGATTCGAAGCATCATGTCCTCGATCCAGGTGCAAGTACCACCGAATCCGGAAGCGATACTGGACTCGATTGCAAACAGGTATGATCCGGAAAACAGTGTAACGTTTTCGGCGTGGTACAAGCGATACGAGGACCGTTTTGAGAAGGATGCTAGCCATCTCGCCGATCGAGCAAAGGTACGTTTGTTAATGAGAAAGCTGGAAATGTCCGAACATGAGCGATATGTGAGCTTCATACTGCCAAAATCATTGAAGGATTATATTATGAGGGACGAAGCGCAGTTCGCTATTCGGTGCTTCAGAAACCGTCATTAGTCGGAGATACCGCTGTTAATAAATAGCGAAGCAGCCCACTGATGATTTCGTCATGTACGCTTGTCGCACCAACAAGTTGTGCGTTGAATTTGAGCTGACGAAACTAACCGAAGAGCAGTTCAGACACAGAGGTAAATCTAAGACCAGAAGGTCCCGAATAAACGTGCTCAACTTTTTGGCTCAGCTCTGGTACTCTCTTCGGTCCCAAGCTAATCGATGCACCCCTCGAAACATAGGAAAATTCACGAGCCCCTCGTTTTATCTGTCAAAGTTTCATAGCGAATCAAAACAAACATAGTGTAGTGCTAGAATTTCGACTAGAATGGGATACGTTAATCGATATGCTTGGGACCAATAGGCTAGTCAAGTAGTGAGCCAATTTTAAATCGTTAGTTTCCATCGGTGGTTCAGGTGTTTAGTTTTCGTCTGTGGGCTGAAGTGAGGACCCGATTGCTGAGACGCATCGAAGAGCGGAGTGATGTTACTTTGGAGCAACTTTTCCAGGGGTGCCAGAGGCTCATCAACTTACGGCAC